CTTAACTATTATTGGCGTTTAACGTTCGACACGAATCGTGAAAATTCCAGGCGAATCCATTGCATTCTCTTTCGCCAACATTCCCTCGTGGTTAAAAGCAGACGAGACTAAAATCTCTTACTTCAATTGGCAACGAGTCTATAAGGACATATCTGAATTAAATTTTTGTTGGGGGTAGGCTTAGCAACTTCCCCATGTAAAAATACTAATTGCTACGAAAACCACAATAGAAGCAATTAGAGGGGTGAGACCTGATACGCAATCGCGGTGTCCACTACGTTAACACACACACACACACACACACACACACACACACACACACACACACACACACACACACAAACATACACACACACACAAACATATACACGCACACACATGTATATATATATTTGTGAAATTTGCATATTGCAATTTTATTATTTGCTTGTTGTCGTTTGACATTAAAAGCGTTTATACTTTTTTTCATTGTCTACTTTAAAATATATAAGAAAAAAACATGAAGAAAATGAATGACTTGATGGAAGAAATTTGTCCCCAATATAAACCCTCTACTCCACCATATATATATATATATATATATATATATATATATATATATATATATATATATATATATATCAAAAGAGACGTTATTTTAAATTATATAAATGTATAAAATATCTAATACTGTGTAATGTAATTTAAAAAAAATCTTGTTTTTTATAAAAATGATGGCAGGGACCCGAAAAGAAATGTGTACACACCAGAAAGCAAAGGAAATAATAATAATAATAATAATAATAATAATAATAATAATAATAATAATTAAATGTCTTAAAGAAAAACAAATAATTGTAATCATAAATACAGTTCACACATTACGAAGGGCGTTATCCATATAACCTTAGATTATTTTTTTTTGTAAAATCTTAGATTATTTTTTTTGCTTCGTTTGTTTACAAAAATGTTCAGTGGAAAATGTCCTGAAGCCATTTCTGACATTAGGTCTCTGGTTGGGATCCGAAAAAAAAATGAGAACACAACAGAAATCAAAGGGAATAATAATAATAATAATAATAATAATAATAATAATGACAAAAATAGTAATAAGGAAATACCTTAAAAAAATACAAAAAAATATACTCACAAACACAGATAACAAGAGAAGAGATTTATCTACGTCTCCAGTTGCCTTGATCTATCCACTACCCTCATCCTTTCTTCTATCACTCCTATCTGATCTTGCTCTAAACTTTCTGTAACCCCTTGCGTCCTAGTGGCTTCCCGCCTTGCTTGGGGTGAAATACTTAAAAAAAAAACAAAAAAAAACGTAAAATGTATGTGATTTTGTTGTTTTTTTATGAAAATGATCAATGGAAAATATCATAAGGCTATTTTTGACTTTAGGTCTCTAGTTGGGTCCCGGAAGGAAATGTGTTTACAACAGAAATCCAAGGAAATGATAAAAATTATAATACGTTTATTTCTTTTCTATTGCAGTGGGGAGACCGTTTTACATATGACGTATCTTAGGAGAATATTTTAATTAATTTGATTTCTAGTTTTACCGAAAATTCCGGGGCGTAATCAATAAAATCTTTTTTACCATAATGACGACTTTCATTTTTTTTTTTTTAATAAGACGAAACCATAATAAAATATGAACTTTGGACAGTTTATCCCTGTTTTGATTCGGTGTTTAGAAAATTAGAATGAAAACAAATTAAACAGACAATTTGATTACACACACACACACACACACACACACACACACATATATATATATATATATATATATATATATATTAAACATTTCACACCAAGCAAGGAACGCAAAGTTACAGAGAGTAGAAACAAGTGTAAAGAGTAAAGGGGGATGTTTGAGGAAAATATATAAAGAAGGAGGGGGCTCAGGATCAAGGCATCAGTTGATGTCGATTGACATTACATTTGAATAATTGAAGTTTATAGCCACTAGGGAAGCAAGTAAGAGGAAGAGAGTTTCACTGTTGGGAAGTGCAAGAGAGAAAATGCTGTTGGCTTAGAAGAAGCGATTGCATTGAAGTTTCGACATGAAAGGGCGGGTCCGAGATGCCAACCTAGTAGCACGCTTAAATTCATGCAGTTTACCGTAAAAATATTTGTAGAAAAGACAGAGGGAAGCCACTGCACGTATATGAGAAAGTGACTGTATACGAGATGCCAGATCGGGTCGCATCGCGCGCACGCACACGCACACACACCCATATATATATATATATATATATATATATATATATATATATATATATATATAGATAATATTAGTGGAAATTTGTAGGTCTGATGATTTGATCGTATTTACGATTCCAATGGAATAAATTATGACCATGGAATATTAGTAGTTTTAAGCTTTTTTATATATATATATATATATATATATATATATATATATATATATATATATATATATATATATATATATACAGGGTGTGATGTAAATTGTCTAAATTACGCAAAAATTAAAATAGCACTGACCAAAAACGATGTTGGTTAGCAACTGTATATTTGAAGACGAAAATCTCACACACACACACACCTATATATATATATATATATATATATATATATATATATATACACACACACACATACGCACACACATAGGGTGCGATGGATAAATTGTCGTCTAAATTGCACAAAATTTAGTGAATACCTGCGTTTCAATAGACACCTATTTTATAAAGTGTGTTTATTACGTTTACCAGCCTGAGTACTCAAGAAAACTTAGTAAAGAAAATGTGTTCTCCGAAAGGGTTCGAACCTTTGTAGGAGAAATCAATGTCTGATCTGGGGTGCTTTCGATCGCTATTTCAAGCAATGTACATATCCATATTCATATTTTCTCCATAGTCCATATCTGCTCGATTTCGTATACGAATTTGTAAAGAAAGCAATTTCTAAACAATTAATGCGTTTATCATAAGCACTCGATTTCGATGGATAAATTGTCGTCTAAATTATGAAAACAATAATGAAAATAACATTGACATCTCATTTTAACAGATATATTTACCAAAATTACACAAACATATCTTGAAATAATAAAGGGATTCAATAAAATCGCCATTGGCTTCAACCAAGGCCTCCAGACGACTTCGGAATCTCCTGCAACTCATCTGGGATGTCTCTTGCCTTCAGTTTATCTTTGGTGACCAAGGAATTTTGCCGCTCGCTCAACTACGCCCCATACATAATAATCATGGGGGATTGCAGCTTAGGGAGTTAGGTGGCTAGATGTAAGGGGTTATGTTGTAGCAGAAATTGATCCAGGAGAGCACTACCTCCTCAAGGCACTTGATACAGTACTCCGTCTTGGGTCTGAGGCCTTCGGGAACATGAACAGAGGTATAACGTCGCCAGCACTAGTGATCACTGCAAAGACCTTCGTAATCACCATTAGACTCATCGACCTCTTTTCGATTCTTCTGCATTGTCCTCAGATTTATACCCAAATACTTAAATGTTTTTATTGGACATCCCAACGTGAATACCAAGCAGTACAGCATGCCGTTTCCCAATTTCTGGCGGAGTGAATTGTGTCATAGTGCTCTTTGTATCACAGACAGTGTCCGACTGAGCCTACTATATTGTGCAGTCGACAAAAAAAACAACGTGCATGCGAAATAAAAAATATAAATGGTGACAATATATATATATATATATATATATATATATATATATATATATATATATATATATATATATATTTTTATATATGTATTATTTTATTATTTTAAACGGTGTTTTTTCGCTTTCCGAATTAATAATTATAATCCATAAAATCTTTCCAAACACACATACATACATATATATATATATATATATATATATATATATATATATATATATATATATATATATATATATATTCACAGACACAGAGTGTTTCTGCTGTATCAGACAGACTGTTTTCGTTGTATCACAGCTCATCAGTGTGCATATAGACGTGTACTTTAAATTGACCAACATCCCTGTCGTGCACCAACAGCAGAAATGAAGATGAATTTAAACGTATTTATTTTTAGATAAACACACAGTGACTGAGAGAACTTAATTCGCTTAACCGAAAAGTCTTGCATTATTAGCCGTAATAGTCATTGTTTACTCACACTTCCTCCCCAGCGAGCTCAACGGAAATAAATTTTTCCTGAGCATATACATAATATATATATATATATATATATATATATATATATATATATATATATATATATATGGAAACTCTGTTGCTTCCGAACCTTCAGTCACTTATCACTTACTGCCTGAAGATAAAACTGCAATAAGTGCTAAGATTTAGATTTTACTAGATTTAAACATTATGCGTAAACTGTCAACCAGACTCCTGCCCATATGATTTGATTATAGTGGCAAAGGCAAAGGCTTTGTGCAGGGCCAACCACACTTTTTGTAGAGCCGAATACAGAGACCTGGTGCACTACGTGGCATAAGGTCCCCAAACGACCCTCCACAGATTTTAAACTCAGAGTTGTCCATCTCCGAAACCATTTGCAATTTAAGGCTATAAGATCCATTCTGTCCTCCTATTTACCCATATCTAGTGGGTGGGGGAGAAGAAGAAGAGGACACATACCTTTGCCCAAGGGTATTAGCACGTATGTTAATGTAATTGATTCGACTGAATTGAACAAGGCTCCTGAGCCGTTATCCATTACACCACTCTGCATCCTCACACACATATATATATATATATATATATATATATATATATATATATATATATATATATATATATATATATATATATGAGTGTTGTGTATAGTATATATATATATATATATATATATATATATATATATATTTATATATATATTAATTGATTTAGAATAGTATTTTTTCCGCTACACAGTTCTAACTATGTTTCAAAAATGGAAGCTAAAATTTTAATTTAATTTTGCAATTAAATAAAAGACATTAGTTCCATTTCATCCTCAAGCGAATCTTGGAGTAACTTTTAA